TTTTTTTTTTCTAAATTATCTGATATGTATCTATAGGACAAGTTTTATATTTTATGGATAAAGATATTAGTTTTCAAAAAAGAAATGTTCATTGAATTTACATTTTTTTTCCCTTATGTATCTATAGGACAAGTTTTATATTTTATGGATAAAGATATTAGTTTTCAAAAAAGAAATGTTCATTGAATTTACATTTTTTTTCCCTTTTCCACTTCGTTTGTTAGATCATCTCCAATTCATCATCATTTTTTCCTCCAAAAATGTAATAAAAAATGGGGTAAATAGTCTTTTATCTCCAATCATATTTCATTTTTTTCCTCATTTTTAACCCCAAAAAGTATATTCCAAATATATTCGATTATTCCAACTTACATATATTTGCAAGCACACCTCTCTATTAATTTAGTTTTAACATATATATAATATATATTTTTTCATTACATTAATATTAAATAAAGTATATTATATTTATAATACACTTATAAATAAATATTATACACGAATTTATAAAAGTATTACACATACACACGTTTAAATAAATATTATACATACATTTATATAAATATTAAACATACACATTTTTAAATAAATATTATATATGCATAGATAACATATTTATGCGTTGGAATAAATTTCCTACAAATGATCAACTAACGCATTTCGCAGACTGAAGTGTGCTTCTTTATCTTTAATACGTTTATATCGAGCAAGAAATTGTTGGAATTGACTGTCTTCGTCTGTCGTCAATTCAACCTCTATCATATTTGTAATATATATTTTAATTATAAGTTTTTTGTAAAATACGTTATTTTTTAAATTTTCATGTTTATCCCTTTCTCCTCCTCTCCACTGTACACATGCTTCATCATCACCCCGACCCTAAATTACCCCCTTTGTGCCCTAAATATCGCTGCAAAATGTGACTCACGACGATGACCCAGCCAAGTCGACTACCGCTTGCCCCATCGTCTCTATTGCCCTCTCTTTTAGTCGGAACACCTCCTTTTCCGACATTCCATTTCACAGGAAATCGGTGCTTTATATCGTCACTGGTCTCCGTTATCAAGCATCCACCTCCAGCCTCCATCGTCAAGTGACCTCCATGATTTAAGACATTCTCGCATTTCCTCTGATACCGATGAATTAATCGATTTCTTCCATACATCCATCGACGAAAAAAATCAATTTCTCCATAACTGATTTACACGTGAGCACTAGGTAAGAGTCGAGTTCACAAATCTACATAACTGATCAAAGTAATTTTGGAGTTATTGAGGAGAAGAAAATGGTAGGTAAGAGGCATCTTTTTTACATTAGAATGATTCGGGAGTCAAAGATGAAATGGAGAAGATGAAGTTAGGGGGTTGGTGGTGACAGGGCGGTAGAGGAGGCGAATGGGGGAAAGGATGGCCTTTAACCTTCGTTGGATCGCCAGAAACCTTTAAACCATCACCATCTTTTTCACCTTCGTGTTTTATCAGCAAAAGGAAAGAGATATCAGAGAGAAAGAGAAAAAGATTTTGTGGGTGGGACCCACACATATTAGTCAATTTCTTTTTAGTAAGTTAATAATAAAAAAACAATTAAAATAATATGTGAGTGTATATTGGTCATTTTAAGTCTATCAGAGACCAACAATGCAACAAAATCAAACTACAAGGATGGTCCGAGTTAAAAAAAGATGTTAGGAATCAAACACGTAGATTACCATAAACCACAGTGACCATCCGTGTAATTTACCCTAATAAAAAATACTACAACAAAACGACATGTTCCGTTCAACATCTTCTACAAGCAAAAACACCATCTAAATCAAAGCTCATAGATGATATTGGTAGTTATGTTCCGGTTTTTCAATTTACTACTAATTTTACAATGCCTACTACTATTATTGATTTGTATAATCTTTCTTGTAATCAATGTAAAAGAAATTAAAACAATTTTGACCCGAACTAAACAACTTTATTTTTTATTATTTATTATCATGCCTCCAACGATCCAGGTTCATAGATTACCCACTATCAGAAGGGCAATGTGATCAAGTCTTCAAAATTTAACATAAGGTTATTCGGGTTCATTCTTTCTTCTTCGATCGTGAGGCTTCATTCCTTCTTCTACAATCGCGATAGAAAGGGGTAATTCTTTTCTTAATGTAGTCGTTCGGTTAAGAGGACTTTATTTTCCATTAATTACAATATCCTAAGAGCATTTCTATCCCACTTTCATTCTTCATTTTTTCCCCCATTTCTTCCTCATTCTTCTCCAACCGTCCCCCATTTATTCCCCAATTTTGGGGGATATGAATAGTATTACACCAAATATGGTGGTATACTATTCATTTCCCCCAAAATGGGGATGAACTTTATGTTATCGGTTTTAGTCCCTTTGTTTATATATTTATACATTTCTAGTTCGTTTTTACCTACTAATTATAATTTAAATATAATATTAATAATTATAATATTTTGTTATATATTAAATTATATTAATTAATTATAAATATAAATTTTGTTTTTTTCATCAAATTCATATAAAAAATTAAATACATATTGAAATTTTAAACAAAAAATAACGTATTTTACAAAAAACTTATAATTAAAATATATATTACAAACTACAGTTTAAGGGACCCTCCAAGTTAAAAAAAAAAAAAAGTTGTTAGCGACTAAATATGTAGATTACCCCAAACCATAGAGACCATCCGTGTAATTTACCATTTTTATTAGTATGTCAAAAACTAAAATTCCCTTAATAATCAGTGTTGTAAAACTCACCGAGTTGGCCGATTACTCCTCCGAGTATTCGCTACTCCCCCTTGCCGAGGCGAGTTACATAATCCCGAGTACTCCCCGATCGGCCCCTTACGAACTGAGTAGTGTTATGAAGTTCGGTCAACTCGGTGATTAATATGTATAATATACTTAATGATTTATTATTTAACACACACATGTGATTATTACTACATATTTATCTTAAATTTTCACTAATTATTTACGAAGTGAGACCATTATGTGTTTTTCATTTTTTTGTGAATTCACATGTATCCAATTTTTTTATATATTTTAATCAACTTATGATTTTATCTTTTGATTTTGACATATATAATTTCCCTAAAAATATTTATACACAAATTTCCAAATCCGAGTACTCGCTACTCGGTAGTCGGCCGAATAGGTACCGAGTAACGAGTTCTACAACATTATTAATAATAATAAAAAAATCTACTAATTTTTTTATTTAAAGTTATAAATAAAGTTAAGTATTTAATTTAACATATATATCATCCGTCTCAAAATTATTATCCATAACAAAATACACACAAATTAAGAAAACATTAATTATCCTTAACATTATTAAATGAAATGACAGGAAACATTATTTATCATTAACATTATTAAATGAAATGATAGTTTACCCTTTTGTTGAATTTAATTTCATGATATATTAACTAATAATGAAATGTATTTTTGTAGAAAAGATATTCATTTTTACAAATATGCTATTATTTAGAACAAATATAAAAGAAAAGATGAACTATTAATATAAGACAAAGAAGTTAGACTGTTAGAGATAGGTTGATGAATTCATACATAACCTACAGATAGCCGATTTTTCTTAGGCTATCCGTCGTACCCACCACTAACCATTATAGTAGTGAGTGTCACATCATACCACTAGCTACCACTAAAAGCTTAGGATATTCACCACTATATCCCTCTTATTTTTTTATTATTAAAATAAAAAAAATATATATTTTTAATTAATTAAATTGTAGAGAGAGATGAAAAAAGATAGAGAGAGAGATATAGAGTAATAGAGAGAAAATGAAGCTGATTGGGTGTGGTGATCCGTGCTCCTCACCACACATGACCACAAAAGTGTTCCATCACTAGCCACTACCAACAATATATGATGGTGTTCACATTTGTTGTTAGTGACCACATAGACCACGAAAGCTCTCGTAATATCAGAAGGCCTTATTGCCTCCATAAAAACTAAAAAGAAATCGCAATGATGAGCCCCTGAGTAATTGCTTCACGAGACTAGTTCATCAACATCTCCATTTCTTTGTTTTTGTTATTGGTTGATTATTAGTCTTACTTGAGCTTGAGAGTAGAAGACACCAATTTAAAACAATTGCTAATCGGATATCAAACCATCTACTACAATTAACTTAATTATAAAATAATTTAGTTGGGTTAATGAGAGGGTACAGTTTATCATTTTTTGTAAGATACATATTTTTTGAAATAAATAAAAATAAAACTAACCCTTATAATTGTCAATAAGTAGTTATTTTTTAACTTATTTATAAAATAATTATCTATCGTAAGGGTTCATGTAAATTTCATTATTTCATTTTGTTTTTTTAAAAGTTCTTTTGTGTGACTTTTACAAATCATTTTTGCAGCAAAATTTACGATAATGATATGCTAAATTAAAAATAGATTTTAAATGGTAATAAAATAATAATAAAAGAACATCTTAATTACGGGCGACCAAATTTACTGTGCGATTATGAGAGCGATTATGAGATTAATGACAATTTCGAGTTATTAAAAAGGTTTGCAGACTTTTTTCTAATAGATCTCAATCTTTCTATTTAATAAATAAATATGAACCATATTTTTTCGGAAGTTGATCCATAACCAATAATTTTTCTTCATGCATAACAATTGGTGATTTAAAATGTTGTATTTCAATATATAATACATGAATTGTTATGTATAATATTAAGTGAGAATAACTTCCACAAAATTACAAAACAAAAGCTTTAGTGGTCAGAATTGCCAAAACTCGGTTAGTTGTTTCCGTCAAAAAGACCATTTTAATATGATCTCTTTGTAAGAACACAATTAAATCCCAAGTAAATTTTCTTACATATTTCAACAAAATTGAAAAGGCAAAAACAAACCCAATAAGAATGCAAAAAAATCTAATTATCTAGCAGTTAATTGAACGCTGAATATTTACGACATTAATTAAAAACTTAATCTATCTTAACCAATTAAACGCTGAATATTCCTGTCGTACTCGAAGTTAAAACCACCGTCGTCGACTACTGCGTTTGAAGGAATATCCACCGGCGGTTGAATGCCGTTGTTCGAACCAAAGAATAAAGCAGAAGACTTGTTGATCATCATCAGTTCAACAGCTCTCGTCAGAACCTTCTTCTTCAACTCATCCAACGAACAAAGATACTGTTGAGCCTCCTCCACATCCAGCCCATCAACAGGCTCTTCGTACCAACGTGATGCGCCGCTGCTCTCTGGAATCTTTCCTCCCCGCTTCTTCTCAGCCTCCAACTCCCTCGAAACCTCAGGGTAATGTTGATTGAACTCCTCCATTATAGGCGGTGGCGCCGGCGATAGATAGTTCTTCTGGGTGGTTCCCGTCTCTCCTCCGTTGGTGGTGTTGGTGGCAGCGTATGTGTTGCTGTCATTCAGAATGTCGTCAAACAGGACGTCGGTGTTGGGGTGGCGAAAGCCATAGAACCGACCAGCGGGGGAAGTAACGAGGATGGCGATTTGGGCTCCGGTCAAGACACAGATCTCAGCGGCTTTCTTGAAAAGTCCGGTGCGGCGTTTAGAGAAGGCGACTTGGAGGCTGTTGGGGTCTTTTATCTTCTTTATATCAATCTTTTGCTTGCCTTTAGTTCTTTTCTTGTTCATGAGAGTATCTCCGGCGACACTGGTTATAACCATGGTGGTGGTGATAAATGATAATGGCGATGGTTGTCGATGAGAGGATGATGTGTATTTCAGTGTTTGAGGGGTAAAAATAATGTTTTGAAAATAAGGGGGAAGATGTGACGATGATGTGTTTTAGCGATGGTTGTGATGAGACGATGATGTGTGTTATAAGTTATAACCCTCGAGAGTTCTGAAATCAAGAACCGCGTAATGCAAGTGTCGTGAAAGATCGAGAATAGATTTGCTACAAGCCCTTTTAATTTTATGGAAGGTTGTTACTAAGATCACTAATTAATTATTACATATCAACGAAATTATAGCGAATTGATAGAATAAATAATTCTAAAAATCAATAATAAATTTCTCAAAAAAAAAAAATATATTTTACCGATTTATTGTATTTCTTAATTTAATTACTAAGACACATTTATGTAGGGCACAATGCCCAATCTTCTCCTACATTTTCTTTTTCCTCTTCCCCGTATGACTAAATATTCGGTCGTTTTTTCAGTTTAATTGGTTTGTTTATTTTTAGTTTTTTATACCTTAAAACATTTCATGACCAAATCAAATAAGATTCACTTTAATCGGTTTTCATATTCGCTTATGGTTTTTCCGATTTGGTTTATTTGTTAAACTGAATAAAATTGTGAATGTAAAAATAAATATTAAAATAAAAGAAAAAAAAAGTTACTAAAATTTTAGCAATTGATATATATATATATATATATATATATATATATATATATATATATATATATAGGTTCAGGTTCATTTGAGACCATTCTAATTTTGTGAGACCGTGAGACCAAATCTAAAAATAATTTTAAAATGCAAAATAAATGGAAAAATCCAAAAATTCTTTTTTTAAATATTATTTTCGGAACTTGAATTAACTAAAAAAAATATAAAAAAAATAAAAAAAATTCCGTTTTTTTTTTGAAAAATACGTGAAATATTCTAAATAGAATATTACACTGACATATTCTAAAAAATAATTTTAAAATGCAAAATAAATGGAAAAATCTAAAAATTCTTTTTTTAAATATTATTTTTGAAACTTGAATTAACTAAAAAAAATAAAAATAAAATAAAAAAACAAATCTATTTTTTTTTTTAAAATACGTGAAATATTCTAAATACAATATTACACTGTACATATTCTAAAAATAATTTTAAAATGCAAAATAAATGGAAAAATCAAAAAAAATCTTTTTTTAAATATTATTTTCGGAACATGAATTAACTAAAAAAATAAAAAAAATATGTCTCACGGTCTCACAAAATATAGATGGTCTCAAATGAAACTAACCCTATATATATATATATATATATATATATATATATATATATATATATATATATATATATATATATATATATATATATATATACACACACACACACACGAGCGCTTTGTTGTCTTAAAGTATCTATGCATGCACACAAATTGTAGAGATTTATTAATATAGTCTTAGTCGTATATGAAAAGAAAAAAATGAACGAAGATTAATTGAAATTTGACAAATTAGTTGTGGTTTTTTAATGTAAAAAAAACAGTTATAAATTTATAATGATTAATAATTAAATAATGAGTTATGAAAATCTTTTTTAGTAACTAATCTATCAATTTAAATATAAAATGTTAATTTATATATATAAATTATAAAATCTAATATTAATTAAATTGCTTATTCGGTTTAACCAAAATAATGAAAATTTAATGAAAACAAACTAAAATCTAATATTAATTAAATTGCTTATTCGGTTTAACCAAAATAACTCGAACCAAATAGATCAAACATCATTTGGTTTAGTTCAGTTTTTCAATTTCGGTTTTTTTATCACACCCCTAGCAACAACTACAACTAACCCCTATCACCTTCCTTATCTCGTTCTTCATCCAATAATAGGAATTCAAAGATAGTAAAGAAAAGAGAAATTAAATATACTACTATTTTTTGTTCCTACAATCCTCCTATCCATTTAAATGATGTCATGTGTCATATTAGTATAGTAAAATATCAACAAATTTCATTAAACGTTACACATGTTACAATTTAATTGAGTAAGAGGATTTATAGGAATAAGTAGGAGGATATTTAATTTCTCTAAAGAAAATTCTTAGCCTATCATTTATTTAACTTGATTTTAAATGATGAAGGGTATTTTCGATATTTTGTACTATCATTAATATATGTTTAATAATTCTTCCTTAAAATTAGGCTTTCATATCTTTTAACGTTTTTGGTATCTCAATTAGATTATAAGTGGTTGGGAGAAATCGAGCTATCCTAATTTCCACTGACTCCTTGATCGAGCACACATTTCATCAAATCCTTGACGATTTATTCACTTCTCCGCTTTCTTGCGACCTTGCTCACTCATGTCTCCTAAGGTGCAACATTTGTTGTCTCTCAACCTTGTCGCCACCGCTATTAGCCTTGTCGATGCCACCTCCTCTCATACCCTAGAGGACTTCTCCATCCAATGGTGATCGCTTGTTCAGTTCTCTGACTAAAGGGGGGTCAAATCATAATAACGGGGTTTCAAAATCGCAATAAAGGCAACAAGGTATTTCGAAGGATTCTCCTAAAAATATTAGTACAACAAATATCCATTTGATGTTGTAATTGACTTCTTGACCAACGTAATTGTGAAATTGAGAATTATAAAGTTGGAAACAATATTGTTAAATCCACGCTTCTTCACCCCTCCGCTACAAACCATTGCAACGAGTTTCATCTACAATTCATTGTTTTTTCTTGTAATTTTTTATATAAATAAATATTTATGATTAAATATTATATGGACTTCATAAAACATATTTGGAAGGTCAAATCAAACAACTTATTTCACAAATCAATATTTCTTCAAGCTCGTGCTCACACAGACCTATCACCTAGTTTAGTATGTTGAATAATTTCAAGTTAGTCCGGAGATTGACCAGGTTTGAAGGATAATAAATTGGTTTAGTTTGTTTGCTATTTTTGGTTCGTTAAATAACAACAATTGTACTCTGTTTTTAAATATTGCTAGCATCCTATAAGGGTTTGATTCCAACATTTGGTATCAAAGCTTGAAGGTTTAAGCCTAACTATCCATGAATCAATATATGTCGACAATACTACAAAAAGGAAAATACAACAATTGAGTATCGTTCTAGTATCCAATGTTAACACCCACAAACTACACCACATAGGTGATAAAGATGAAGGCTATTATGAACGCTCAACGAGTATGTGAGTCCATCAAAACACCAGTCGGAGTGGCTATAAATGAAAAGAAGAATAAGACGGGGTGAGCTTTTATTTTCCAGGCAATACCAGAAGACATTCTCCTATAAGTTACTAAAAAGAAAATGGTGAAAGAAGTGTGGGAGTCACTAAGGACTAAGCATCTTGGTGTTGATTGAGTGAAAAAGGGGAGATTCCACACCCTTAAAGGTGAATTTGATGCACTTCGGATGAAAGAATGATAATCTATAGATGAGTTTATAGGAAAATTGAGTGGGTTGAACTCAAAGTACAATAGCCTTGGAGCGACAATTGAAGACAACACTTTGGTAAGAAAGTTGTTAGATTTTGTCCCAGACAAATGCTTAAAACTTGTGGCATCAAACAAGCAATGTTCATCTATGGATACTATGTCATCTGAAGCGACAATAAGTACAGTTAATGCCTACGAGGAACAGTTATGACTTCGTGGTGAGAACACGAATGACAAAGTGGGTCTATTACTTACACGATCAAGAAGGAAAATATGTTAAAAGTATGATGGGGTTGGTTCCATTATTGCTAGAAGAGGACATGGCTCCTATCATAGTGAGATAGGATGTTAAAGTAGAGTGTAAGAGAGATAGAGAAAGAGAGAGAAGAGAGCAAGTTTATGAGGTATATGCGGTCGCGACAACAACCAACCACTACAAGACACTAGAAAGAGTTGAGGAAATATAAGAGATAAAAGAGACATAAAGTGTTTCTTTTTGTGAAATGTTTTGTGAACTTTACATCAGAGCATCCCAACCCTAAGCGAAAGGATGCCAATGCCAATTTCACTCAGGTACACAAGGAAGAACCAAATATACTCTTGTTTTATGGGGAGAGGAAACAAAAGTTTGGGTGTTTCTTAATGAAGACAAAGTCTTTTTTGGTCTCAAAAGGGTATAAGGAGAACACTTGGTACTTGGATGATAAGGTAATTAATCATTATCGGGGGTGGGAACATAAAGAAAGGATAATCATTTTGGTATGATTTGGTAATGGTTCCAAAGTTCAGATCAAATACAAAGGCATGATTCTATTGGAATGCAAAAACAAGGAACAACTCATGATAGAACAAGTGTATTACATTCCCATCGTGATTACTAACATACTCCATCTAGGGCCTATGACCAAGGTGGGGGTACAAGGTTGAGATGTTGAATGAATTATTGTGAATTCATGATGAGGGGTACATGCTAATAATGAAGGTACATCAATCGAAAAATCGCTTGTACAAGATTGTTCTCCATACTACACAACCTAAGTGTCTTGGTGCTAGTCTAGATTATATTGCATGGCTATAGCACACAAGACTAAGGCACATGAACTTTCGTGTGACCGAATCAATTCTAGAAAAAAGAATGGTGCGAGGAGTACCAATAATACATCATCCCACATAGGTTTGTGGGGGATGCTTAGTATCCAAGCAAACTCGACAATCGTTTCCAATACAAGTACAATGAAGAGCTAGTAATCCACTACAATTGGTACATGCGGATCAATGTGGTTCCATAAAATCCCAAACCCCAACAAGTAATTGATACTTTGTAACGTCCCAAAAATTATAGTAAATTTAAACTTTTAATAACATCTTTACTTTAATTAAAAGTTACCTTTTATATCAAACCCATTATTCTTAAACATATACCGAAGTTTTTCAAAATCATTATTCTTAAACAAATACCAAAACCATTATTCTTAAACAACTCATAATTCATAAATCCAATTCAGCGAAAACAAAATGAAAAA